CCGGCTCATCATCGCGACTACTATTCTACGTATGGCAGTACTCCGTACGCACAGTCAGCTCTCGTATCCGATACAGCTCTCTACAGCCCCTCAACGCCGCCTGTCAGGTGCAGTGCATTATGTCCATCTCGGGAGGTTGAGCTTATTGTGAGCTCACTGGCCTCACATCGCCCTGCTTTGCTCGATACGACATCATACACAGGACGAAGCGGCGTCATGCGACTCACTCATCTAGGTATTCCAAACGGCGACGAAGAAAGGCATAAGTTACTTTGCCAACACTCGTGGGCCTCACGTGATCGTACACTAGCACGACTAGCAGACGATGGACTCGTGAAGTTATCCCAGCCAGTGGCCCAGACCATTCGACGCCTCCGCAGCCGCGCAGCTGCACTAGAGCCGAGAAACAAACGCAAGTCTTCTGGACGCGTCGCTGTCTGCCATCTGCCGGCTAATGTACCTCAAATTGTATCACGGCCCTCGAGTGCAACTCTTGCCCCGCACTCTGCCCGTTGGACATTCCGGTGCGAATGTGGCTCCGTGGGACAGGATCGGTCTCATGAATGAAAGGACCACGCTCCCACGACGGTCTCGACGACAACCAATGCGAGGCCCAGAAAAGCTGCTCTTCCCTATCTCTGCTCTTGGCGCCTGTGTCGCTGCATTGGACCAGGTTTCGGCCGTGCTCAGCGTTGTTGCCTCACTTCATGTGAAGAACTGGGGCCGACAACAGCCAAGACGCCGTTTCCGTCTTGCTTCAAACCGCCTACGCCGACCATCTGTCCACGTCTTTCCTTGATTTGCACCGGGACTTGTCCAAACTTTGTTTTCGCCCTAGATCACTTGACACGAGCTGGACAGCTGTCGAGAGTGAGGTCCCAGGGCTGTCCTGGTTGCTGCTAGAGGAAATTGCCAACCACCCAAGCGGTATACCTCGTGCGATTTGACGAATCAGTCCCTAACAGTGTCTCTGACTTGGACGAGTTGACCGTCTCTAAGTTACTGCTGCCAATGACGCTCAACATACTCACGGTCACAAGTGGCTGGACAGTAATACGGAGTGACTGGTCTGCTGGCAGGCAACAACACATGCACGAACTATCCCAATCCGAGATCAGATGCCTCGGTGACGAATCATCTCCTCGAACCAGTTCATTGCTCAACCGCCTTTTTGCTGTCTTCCATTGATCGGCTTCCAGATAACGTCACATTCATGGGTTCTGAGAAGCTCGTTCCGTTTTACTTGGGCCCTGCCTTAACGTCGACGGTTTTCTTTTCCGGCTACCGTTTGTTTCCAGTGGAAGATCCCTGGGCGCGCCCTGTACCGGAACTCTGTGGATGCTATATCTTATGCATTGCCGGTTAGCGGATCGTCTGTCTGGGACATGTCGCTCTCTGAGCTCATGTTAGCGCCGCAGATCTCTCAGTCTGCAACTTTCAAGCAACAGATGTGCGGCGTGCCAACGTATTGGTAATTACCAGCTTGACCTTACCCCCGGCGCCCGGCCTCTGTCGCCGGCGGGACACCAAACAATGCAACAACATGGGCGCCCGTCTGTCTACTCAGTGCCAGTCTTAGTATCTCAGTCATGCCGCACTGGGAGAGTCGCTGCATCGCTGAAGCTTCCCGCGACTGCGCCTCAATCACTCGCCAAATTTGGCCCGCTGCTGCTGGGATCAGGCCGGCGATCCGGTAGAGACTTCCAAGTTCCATGCCCGACCCTTCCTCACGCCGTTCCATCTGCCCTGCGCTGAGTTTGGAAACTCACTGGTGGCATAAACAATTCCCATGACGCATGACGAGGCCAAGGAGGCCCATGCCATTTCGACCTCTGGCGTAGTAATCAGAGCACTCTCATCTTAGCGCGCCTACCATCCCAAACAAGTCACGAACAGCCGCGTCCTTCACTCATTTTACCTTTGCTCCGAGCCTACGGAGTACGAAGCCTACCTACGGTGGCAGACGGGACTCGGGAGTCTAACAAAGGGGGAGGAGCACTGTGGCATCTTTCGCTGACGGAGGGACCTCCTCCACTACGGTGGCATGACGACATTTTGGCCTTCAGCTGCTCGTAACATCGGTCATCCGTCCAGACTCCAACGTCGTATGGGAATTGAGAGCTCGGAAGTTGGAACCTGCACCCCTGATGCTCTCATAGCAACACAAAACAACCTTCAGCCTCAACACCAATCATCATGTCGGAAATGACATCACACTCTTTTCCCTCGGCCTTTCTCGACGATTGGACTCACTCTCTCAAATCGAGTCGTGGAGAACAGCTCAACGACTTTCCCAACTACTACGTTTCCCATCCCGAGAGCTTGGTGACAACATGTAGCCTCAAGTCTCTCACCGTCGGCAACGGCGCCGCTATCTACAAAAAAACCCTCCTCCCGGCCATCTTGCTGGCGAGACACGAGGTGATTTTGGTGACGTGCTTCTGGGCTCCGTCCGATACCTTGAGTGCCATCAAAGAAACCCTGGAACTCCTTGCCGAGCAACGTAGAGAGATGATCCAAACGTCCGGCGGGGATGCCGTCGCCCCATTACGCGTTCGCATCTGCTTCTCGTCGCGTAGCTTCTTCCAAAAGATATTCCATCCGTGGTCGCGGGACGCATACGCGTACCCAACCTCAGCGTGGCCAAAGCTCGGATTGCCCCCGGATACCACGCTCAAGGCGGCCCGCATCGATCTCACCGTCAAGAGCCTATTCTTCCTGCCCTTCAGCGTCATGCATCCAAAGTTTGTCATTGTCGACCGCAAGCGCGCTTGGATGCCCAGCTGTAACGTAAGCTGGGAGACGTGGTTCGAAGGTTGTATTGGGTTCGAGGGTGCAGCCGTTGCTCAACTTGCCAAGTTCTACACAAACGTCTGGGAGCGCGGCGCCGGCGAGCGAGAGATCCCCGACGACCAAGTCAAAAGTGGTCGTGAGGCGAACCAGGGGCTAGGCCAAGTCGATGAAGAAGACACTGGGCGAACTGTTCTTCCCGGTCCACCTTCGGACGACGAGACCGCGTACCGACGGCTTAGCCTCGCAAGTCTACCACCTTGTCCGACTATGATCTTACCCTCATCTCATCATTGGTACCCCGGCTTCCGCTACATTCCTGTCTGGCGCCGCACCACGGCTCCTACCACTCCTCTCAATGCGGCTCTGCTGTCGTTATTCGCTAGTGCCCGGACCGACATTGATATCGTGACGCCGAACCTGACTTGTCGAGCTGTTGTCGATGCACTCCTTGAGGCACTTTGTCGCGGCGTCAGCGTCCGCATCAGGACAAGCAAGAATATGATGTTAATCGAGCAGCTCGTTACGGCTTGCACAACGACGGAGTGGACGCTCAGTTCGCTCGTCAAGCGATACAGCCAAGTCTGCGCAGATTGGGGCCGGAAACGGTCTGTAGACGCCGAATCCCATTTGCAACGGCCAGGCCGCCTCGACATCTACTATTACCGCCCGAATCTGCAGGCGACGGCGGTGCGGGATCCAGAAGAGCCGGTCGTGTCGCACTTGAAGATGACGCTCGTCGACAGGGAATATCTCTTACTGGGCTCCGGCAACCTGGACCGGGCCAGTTGGTACACGAGTCAAGAGCTGGGCATCCTGCTCCATACACCCGACTTTCAGTCCGACATTTGGTCTGAATCTCTCGAGTCCAGGATCGAGGTCCGATTCAGCGGAGAGCCCGGCGACGAGATGATGAGCTAGTCAGTTGTGTGTTGGCATATAATGTGTGTGCTTCTGATTCTGCCTCGTCTTTAGATTCCTACTTTAGATACCCGTGCCCTGTAATGTTTACTGATTCATGACCAACGGCGCCAAGCGTGTGTCCTTCGTCTCACTTTTAGAACAATCATACGTCTAGGATGACTTCTTCCTCATGACGAGCAGTCCAGAGGATGGCCCTGAGAAGCTGTTCAACGAACCATTTGTCCTCATACGCCTCTTCATAGTGGCCCAGGGCTGTATAGAACGATCTCCCCCCGTCGAACTCTTGACACCATACAAGCGGGTGATCGTCCCCCATAGAGCCGCCTTGGAAGCTTGTCGGGTCGCCCCGAGCCAGGATGTGGAGGTTGTCGTTGTCCCTGGGGTGCGACAGAAAGTTGTACCACTCGTCGGTCCACTGTTTCCGGACATCATAGCAAGCCTCCGCCGGATGGTTTCCGCCTCCACTTCGCATTATGAAATGCCCCGGGTCTTCAATGATACAGGTGCCCTCTTCGGGCGGAGGATGCTGGTCGAAATGCGCGCCGACCAGCTTGCCGTACCAATCATCCTCCCTCAACCCTGAGGCGGCAGCGTGCACCCCCACGAATCCGCCGCCCGAATTTACGTGGCCCTTCAAAGCCGACAGTTGCTCGACATTGAGGAACGTTCCGGTACAGTGAAGGAAGACAACGGTCGCGTATGTTGCCAGGGACCGAGGATTGATAGAGGCCTCGGCGTCTTCGCTGGCGTCGACGGTGAAGAGTCCCGTGTGCTTGCCAAGGGCTTTCACGGCGGAGACAGCAGCTTCAATGCAGTCGTGTCGAAAGCCAGAGGTCTTGCTAAAGGCCAGAACGCGGAAAGGCTCCCTCGCCAGCTTAGGGGGGTTGGGCGTCATGTTGGTCGTTGTGACTGGTGTCGTCGTCAGAGAAGGATCGTGATAGTGGGTGTGGTTTGGCGGGGTTGGTGGGGTTCGCTTTGCTATGCTTCTTAGTCCTCAATACTTTTGCCAATCGTCAAGTCACCGGCTGTGTGTTCTAGTGGTCATGATTTCTCGTTCACAATGTGTGCACAAGATCCCGAGAAGGTCGCAGGTTCGAGCCCTGCCGCGGTCATAGCAACTACCCTTTTGATTTTTGACCATATCGAATCCGGAACTCACCTGAAATGAATTCTTTTCTTGGTATTGTGGCCAGAATCGAGTGGTGGGCGCCTTTGTTGTTGATGAGAACTTTGGGTAACTAAGTTTGTAATGTCAAACTCAATTGAGGACGAATGCAAGCAGGGTTCAAGTATTCTTGAGCGATCAACCGACATACAGATCTGTCGACATTGTTGACTTCAATTATTTTGCAGATACTATCTTCACGACGAATTTGTATTTCTAAGCAACAGGCACATCTTTCTGACAAATGCCTCGGGGTCTACCCCGGGACTCCTCCCGTTCCCCGGAAAGTGGTCTGAATCTCATCCACTTGAGGTCCAAATTGGTATCCTTAACCGCTGAGATCCGTCTCTCCGCCGCGCTTCTAAGGCCTACTTGCTCATACTGTACAGGAAGCCGGTTCGCCAACGCCAGCATCAGACGCGGCGAGCAGGTACTCCATGAAGCCGGCGTTGGTCTCGAGCAGATTCAAGTTGTACTGGCTGGGCGTCGGGTAGAACGGGCAGTCCACCTCATCGTTACCAAATCCAAATTCGACTACGAAACCGTGCATCTTGCCGAGCGAGGGGTCCGTAAAGTGGCGCGAGTAGGCGTAGTCGTCACTCGCACCTGAAGTCGGGTACAGGTACGAGCTCTGCTCGACCTCGTAGTGGCGACCGGCGGCGGCGTCCATGGCGTTGCCCATTCGCATCGCGGCGAACACCTTTTCCGACCAGTCGCCGGTGGGGATGTACTCGCCGTAGATGCCGTTGTTAGGAGGTGTATCCGGCATGAGACCGCGGACGGCGTCATACGACTCGTTCAAAAAGTTCATGTACGGCTGGCGCAGCTGGTTCTCGTCGCTGCCCCAGTTGTACAGGACAACGCCGGTGTAGCTGTGGATGTCGAGGAACCACCTGACGTTCTTATGCTGGTCCATCACCCACTTGATGCTCTGAGTCTCGGGCTCCGAGAACGGACTAGCGCCGTGGTACGTCTGGTCAGTCGGGTCTTCCGAGGCGACGTTGGGTCCCACGCTAGGAGCGAAGCTCTTCGGGAAATCAAAGAGAAAGTCGAAGTTGCGGTTCAAGTCGATGCCAATGGCCTCGGGATCCCCTCCTGAAGCGGCCGGGTTGCGGTTCTTACGCCAGCAGCTGTGTGTCGTCTGGTCGTATGCCACGCCGTCGGGGTTGCTCAGCGGCGTGAAGACAATGCCAGTCGACAGGGCGCGCTTCACATCGTCATTGGTGTACGTCCGGCCCCCATAAGTCAACCCTTCGCCGTGCTTGTTCGCGTACAGAAGGTCGGAGATGAAGTAGATGATATTATCCGACGACCCGCGTTCGCGGGCGTGGATGGCGCCGTTGAAGTACACGTGGTGCGCGTCGCTGCAGTTCCCGCCTTCGCCGCCAATCTTGGCGCCGAAGAAGGAGGCATTCTGATACGTCTTGTACGGCGACTCAAAGTACTCAATGCCGTACTCCTGGACGAGACCCTTGACGGCACTTTTGATCTCGTTGACGTTGAGGAGGGAGGTGAGGTTCGTGCCGGCGGGCTGGGTGCCGAGACCGCGGGGGAACTTCTTGCCGCCGTCGAAGCGATCGCCCGTGCCAATGGAGACACCCGTGTTGTTGGGGCTCGTGGTCTGGCGGCGGGCGATGCGGCCGCCGGAGGCTTCTCCGGGGAGTAGACAGGATTCGCCCAGGAGGGCGAGCGAGAGGAGAGCGCAGGCTTGTGTAGTCTTCATTATCGTGTCGTTCACCGTGGGCAGGCTGGCTCTAGGTGAGGGATAGGCGTCAATGAACAGCAGTAGGAGGTCAGGAACGTCGAGTTCTGTCGTCCATGAGTGCGATTGACAACGACATCAAATAGTCTGACAAAGGTGCCAAGAGCTCCTTCTCATTCTTGTTTGCCCTGCTCCGCCCGAATCATACTGTAAGCGTGCGGTTAATTACTGCACAATGATGACTGCGAAGCCGTTGATCACCGGGGTCCTGGGGTCAAACCTGGCATACCCGCCTTGTGGCCCGCGGCCTGCAGCCTGCTTCATGGTGTTCCTCTCCGTGGGGTTCCTGCCTCCGCTCCGTATCCATGGTTGATTAATGAGCTTGAGGAAGCTTCACACGTTGATGCCTGTTAGCACAAGTTCATAAATCCCGAGGTAAACTCGATAGGGCAGCTGGTAATCAGAGAAGCCACTTACACTCAACCTTCTTCTATTAATGAAGGACTGATTGATCCAGTGCTGCAAAAGCTACTTATCTTCCACTCTCGATTATGGGCAGCAACGAATCAGGTCGCATAATGGAATTGGCTGGGTCAGATTGCTCTGCGCAGATTTTCTTTTCGAGCCGGTGAACTGACCGAGTGTCTTTCCAAGTCTTGGCAAGGTCCTTTTGCAGAAGACCAAGACGTGACTCAAGCAGGGGGTGCGTGCTTCGAGCCTTCAGGCTTCGGGATGGGTAGTTTGCTTGGTTTCCACTCGTCGTCTGTGGACGTCGATCCCACCGGTGTAACCTTGAATTGCGGGTTGTTGGCCCGGACCCGGCTACTTATATCGTTCGCTGATTCTTCGTATCCATACGGCGTTAGAAATCCCGGTGATATGAGGGCTGGAGCAAGGTTTTCGCCCTTCGAGTCGGGCCATCTGTCGTGGGGAACGTTGACCCGATTTAGCGTGTCAATGTACTTCGTGCCCCCCAGAGATTAGCGGCTGAAGGCGGTCCGCTCTGACGTTTAATTCTGCCCAATCACATCTTGGCTTCGTTCTTTAAGGGGATGGGTTACTTGGTATGCCCATGCTCGTGGCATTTACGGTCGTGGCATGGACGCTGCCGAGTTCTACAAGATATTATGCTTCCTTTCGAGAAATCGGCTACTGACTGTATACCACGGAAAAACACACGTCCTTCAGCTGAGGTCCCGGGCTTGATTATGAGCTGTCTGCCTACCTGCCCGGAAATGCGTCTGGCTCTTGTGGCGCACAAGCTTATGAATATGGTAGCTTCATTCAGATTGTTGTTTGGACGATCAATGTCCCTTAATCGTCCAGCTCAATCATTAGCTCAGGACAATGCCATACTGTGAGGAATATATGTATCAAACGAGCCGTTTAGCTTCGCCAAGGCATGATACTAGATTTAGACCGGTCATGTTCAACACCCCTTCAGCATTTGGGACTTTGTGAATCTGTCTTGTCAGCCATCGATGCCTCTCCGGCCACGCTTTAATCAGTAAGTATGAGTGATGAAGTTCATGAAGAATATCCTTCTCATAGGGTACTTCCGACGAAGACTTTTTTGGATGGCTCCAGAGTTTGCGAGCGTCTATTCTTCTCGTAACCCTGCACATACTTAGTGGGCCACGGCTCTTTGATATTCCTAGCTATTCTTAGACGGGATTTAAAGTAACCATAGTACAGTGATTCTCGAGAAGAACCGTTACGCTACCGACTCAGATGTCTTACTGGGGCTTCTGGGGGTCCTTAACACGGGGAATGAGGTCGCAACGCCCATCATTTACCCGATGCTGGCGTGATCATCCACAGTCAGTATATTGAGGTGACGACACTACATGTAGTGCATGACCGGCATCTTTGACAAGCTTACGAATGCCTACACTCACTATATAGGAATACAACTGGGTTCTGGTAGTATCAGTGGGGTTCCGGAATGCTGGTAAAAGGATCTAGGAAGTTGCTAGGAAGTCGCGGCAACAGGCGAACTCGCTGATGCAATTGGATATTGCAGCCGCAGTGGTATTGTGTTTACTTATGGACGGAATAAATACATTTCAAAGACGGGCGGAATAAACCTCCATGCTTTCCTATTAGGTTCTGTGATAGTAAAGGAATGATTGCTGGCAATGCCAGGACGAGTGTGTGTGCAGGTGCTCCATACATGTGCCATGATGCCCCCAAGTAGACCGATATCCTTCTCAACGGCGTCGCTTCCATGATTAAAGAGGAGGAGTTGAACCAACACACTATTTAAAGCCTGGCTACAGCATAGTCCTCTACGTGTCCCGGTCTTGAACTAGAACTTTGATAATAAATACCTCTGTTCTGATTCTGACTTATTGGTGACTAAGGTATGTGAAGGTTGCCAATGACCGCCCGAGTTTCTCATAGACTGGACTTAATATTAATGACGCCACGCGGCGCAAACAGGAAGTAAATTATGATTTGATGCTTTTATGGGATCCGGTAACTTGAAGACAATTCTGTTCACAATTGACTACCAAGGGCCTATGATCTTGGGCAGGCTTTGTACTTCACCCATTGCGGAACTAGCCACACTGTACATCAAAGCCGTAACCTCAAC